CTTGGATGTAAGACTAGGTGGAGAGCTCATGCCTTTCTTATTAAAGACCATGGGAGAGCCCATGACACTTAGGTGTAAGACCATGTGGAGAGCCCATGGCATCCTGGAGTAAGACCCTGGGGACGAGCCCACGACATCCTTATATGTTTATATGCATGGATTATGTGATTGATATGGTTTATGTAGCTGTTATAGCTAGTATGAATTATGTGGTTATATGGATTATGTGGGGTATGTTCTGGGGAGCTCACTAAGCTTCGTGCTTATAGTTTTGTTTATGGTTTTAGGCGTCATCGACTTGGAAAAGAAGGGTCCGGATTGATAGAAGCGCACACACCTATGATTTCTGCAATGAATGGTTTTGGGATAAACTCTGATAATTATTTTACTTAATGATGATTTGAAATATTTGAAATAAATGGCATCAATGCTTTAGCTATATTTAAAAATGATTTTTTTACCCTTGATTTTTGGGTCATTACATAATGATCAAGCTAGGAACTTTTTACCTTCATTGAGCTGAAAATGCATCAAAGAGTAGAGTTGTGCATGCGTCGGTTTGGGTCGGTTTTTGACCCAAACTCAACCCAATCCATAACTGGTCGGTTTCTAGTTTTCAAAACCCAATAGGATCGGTTTCTGGTCGGTTCGGTTTCTCGGGTTCTGAGGTTGGTTTGGTAGATTTTTCGGTTTCTTGGGTTCAACCCATATACTCACGGGTTATAGGTTTAAACCCATGGGTTTTGGGTTTTAACCCATTTTATATAAACGAAACAACAAGCTAAATACTTAAAAAAACACCAAATTGAAGTTAAATACTTCTAAAAACATAAATCTTACAACAAATAGTCTATTACAGGTTACAACCAAAGTCCGAAATAGTCTATTACAACCAAAACACAGTCAAGTAACGGTGGTTTCTTGGGTTGCATGGGGTGGTTTCTTGGGGGCGGTTTGTCGATTTTAAGTATGGGTCGGTTTCTCAGGTTGGATGGATCGGTTTTTGGGTAAAAACCAAAACCGAACCCGATTTTTCGGTTTTTAAAAATATCAAACCCTAACCGTCGGTTTTGCTTCGGTTTCAGTTTTTTCGGTTCCGGTTTCGTTGGTTTTAATCGGTTTCTCGGTTTTTTGGTTTGGGTTTGCTCACCCCTATCAAAGAGTCCAGATCCACAAGCCTTTCCTTGAACCACCACCTTGCACCAAGCCATCACTTCTTGAAATATACTAAAATCCACCTAAAATGCACATACAAGGCACGCAACCCTCTTGGATGAAACTATAACTCGATATTTAGGGTTTAAGACACTGGAGGATGAAAGAGAGGCGCACACCTTGGACTTAAGTTGCTTAAATAGTGAGCCAACCCTTAAAATTAGGATTTTGGGGATCCCGAACTTACACTGGGTGTACTTCCTGTATGTTGGGCGTACGTCTCCCAAACCCGTGTCTATTTCCCACACGTACGTTGGGCGTAGCATGCATGGGACTGCCTCACCAATTATTTGCATTAGGCACCAAAATTGCCAATAACTTCAAAATACCATAACTCCCTTATCTTAGGATCGTTTCCAATGAACCTTATATCCACGAAAAGGTGGCGAGAATCCCTATGCTCCTAACATCATACCGAAGCCTTAAAATCTCCCAAACAACACCCTAAATTCATAAAAGACCAAGATATCAAATTACGATTATACCCTCGACTTCCGAAGACACAATCAAATACTTGGATCACTTATACCATGACACCCACATCCGAAATAGGCCAAAAACTTCCTTTCCCGAAGCCCTAATCCTTACGACAACTAATGATTGGGCTGGAGCCCCAAGCAACAGAGCAAATCCGAAAACGAGTGTTACAACTCTGCCCCACTTAAATTAGATTTCGTCCTTGAAATCTCTCCTTATTAACACCCATATCAAAACAAACAATTTGAGGAGCGCAATCGGAGATTCTGTGCATAAGACAACCTTCCCAAGATAACCGAATCCAAACCGAGATTCCATCCCGAAGAAAACAAACCTTAAACTCCCACAAAACCACTCCTGTCTATTCGAAGTCTGAAATCTATAATGGTTTGTCTCCCCGATAGACCACCCACTCTGAAATATTACCATGCCAGAACCTCATCAAATAATTGACCAACCATATCTCTTCCAATCCTAGTTATTTTGTTGCAACCTACGAAAACCCAGACACTGACCATAACCAGCTGCAGAATACTTATACTTGATAGAAGACTCAGATAATCCTTTGAGTGGAAGATTCATCCCTTCAACGGTTAGACTCAAACGAGAGTTGTGGTATAGGGTCAAATCAATTACTTTGAGATTATTTAATCCAACTGCAAGTTTGTTCGGTAACAGAAAAGGTTGGGGAACCACGACCCAACTCGCTGAGTCCTATGAACGACTCGTCGAGTCCCCCAAAGTTTAATTCCATACAGTCGATTTTAGTCGGGCTTAATGCATCCAAAACATAGATCTGGCCTCCTTGGGTCTATATAACACGTAAAGTTACAAACTTTACGTCCATGCATGGGCTATTTAACTCAAATAGCCCTAAAAAGTGGTTCATATGATGAATGGGACTCCCATGGCCATAAAGTTGGCACCTTTATGCCATGGAGTCCCTCAAAGGCTCTTGATCTGAAGTCTTAGCCCCAAACATGCTTGCATCCATGAATGGTTCCAAATATGGTTCCTTAAAGCCCAAAACTACTCCATGAAGAGATCTAATAGATGAATAGACAAGGTATAGACTTTATACCTCAAATGAGTTGGAAATGCAACACAAACTCTAGATCTACATGCCTCCTCTTGAATCCCCAAGCTTTCCTCTTCCTTTTAAAGCTTCAAATCACTAAGAACACACAACAAAGGCTCAAGAACACTCAAAATGGATTAGGGTTTCATGAATAAGGCTTGGAGGTGATGAAGACTGTAGTTGAGGTCAGTTAACGTGTTTAAATAGGATGCAAACCCTGAAAATTAGGGTTTCACTCTGGCAGCCCTACTTATCGAGTCGAGGCCTCTCGACTCGTCGAGTAGGCTTCAATTCCGCATCCAATCCTTCGTTCCTACTTGACGAGTCCGAGGCCTTCGACTCGTCGAGTCCCTTTGCAAGAATGAAAATTTTAATTTAAATTACATATACCAGGAACCGGGCGTTACACATACATATTTGTTACTTGACTCGACGAGCACATGTTGAGAAAAGAAGTTTGGATCAACATATGGTTGTCAAAGGGCTTTCTATCAGGGCATGGAGGGGTTAACAAGCCTTGGATTCATAAAATTAGAATTTGCTTTGAGTAACACATGAAACATGAAGTTATCTAGGGTGAAGATACCTATTTTTTACATCTGTTATTATGTGACAAAAGCCTAGTTGGTGTTCCCTTCGATCATTATCTTTATGATCTCATTCCATGTCCTCATGTCAATCTGGTTAGGAGAAGGTGGAACAAAATCTTTGCAAATGGAGTAGATTTATTCATCTATCTATAAGAAATACAACAAAAATATGTAGACACTATAAACACTAAACTCAACCGTTGCTTTTCTCAATCGAATCTTAAAAGACAAACGGTAACCAAAGATTGGGAGGGGAGATAGGAGATTAGGAGAGGAGAGCGGAAAGATGATATGGTGGGTACTCCATCGGTAATAAGGATGGTGTTAGTGGCAGTAGCTACAGAAGGAGGAGGAAATGGGAGACTCCAGTGGTGGTTCTTACCAACAAACTCGACGAACCCATAACACGAAATCGATTTCTTAGAACTTATGTGTTTAAACCTATGGTTGAGTTACAGGTGTTCTTGCTAATTGTAGGAACAAATGGTTTAGACTGCTCACTTTTGGTTCCCAATCATGATGAGGATAAAAATGTTCTTGATTGATTTCAGGGGAAAAATACAAAAACATGATGGTGTTAAAGATGGGAAATCATTTTTTTAGTTTCAGTTCTTGGCGCTCTCTTTCTTTTAACGACGGAGTCTGGTTTATGTGTGATATATATATATATATATATATATATATATATATATATATATATATATATATATATATATATATATAAAGAGAAAGAGAGAGAGAGATGGAGATGAAGAAGGAGAGAGAGAAAAATGTGTATGAGAGAGATATATGGAGATGAAGAGGGAGAGAGAGGCAAAAAGGTTTTTTTTTTTCTTATTTATTTATAAAAGAAAACCAAAAAGAAATCAAATAAGGTGTTCTAGTCTTTTTAGTTTTCGAGAGACAAAAATTACATACAAACATGGTCAAAATGATCATCAATCCAAAAATGTTATGGTTTGAACTAAATCCTAGAAAAAATACATACCATAATGATATTTTTGCTGTTTTGTTTATTTTTTAACTTATTACTATTTGTTTTATTCTGTTCATTTAAGCTAATAATTTTTTTTTTTTTTGTATTGATCACTCAATATATATTGAATGGTTAAAATAGTTTCATGTTTAGTATATTTACCCCTCTCATCTTTTAATCATATTCCTTAAATACCATTAGTTATATTTTAGTTTTAAATATTTTTAATTTATTTACTAGTTAATTATTTCTATCAAGTATTTAATGACATTTTATTTATGAAATATAAATTTATAATGATTATAAAATATTTTCAATAGTTTTAACAACTATGACGTATTAGTTTTTTTAAATGTATTTTACGTTTATAAATTAAAAACAAGGTATACTTTTATTTTTATTTTCATTTGTTTGTTGTATTCATCGTCTATAAAATTTGACGTCTGGTTAAAAAATGATGAGTTAAATGGATAAGATTTTATAGAATATTTTAAATGGATAAATAATAGATTAGATAAAAATAAAGAAAAAACTATTGAAAAAAGTAAAACATTGAATGTATTATTTAATTATAAATTAAAGTTAATGAAATGATAATATAAAAATAATTTTAAATGATAATATAGGCTAACCATTGGAAATACTCTTGGATTCGATTGGCAATCTAACGTTTAATGTTTTTTGGAGCATTTCTTGTACATCGACGAGTGTCTATTTATCAGTGCAATATACAATGTCACATTTTGCGTGGATGGATGTACACAATTTCATGATTCTGGAATTAAATCTGGTATCTTATTGTTTGTTAGATTATTTCTATTACGTTCGTTTGGATTGTTTGACATAGTTATACTAGTGTTTGGCCGTTTGGGTAATTTTGGGTTGTGTGATTGGTCACATCTATATGAAGTGAAGTGTTTTAAAAATTTAACACTTATGCTTATAACTTACATGTTTTGAGAGACAAAAAAATATAATGAAACTATGCTTTGGGTATCAATCAAGCAATAAACCAAAAAATATCGACTAAATCCACAACTTTTTACATGAAAGTTGTAAACTTTTAGTTGATTTCATACAAAAAATGTGTTTTAATTTGAAAAGAACGATGGGATTGCAAGAATTAGAGTCGATAAGAAGGCGCCAATTCTGGTTTTCCTAGTCCACTCAATTTCATACTTACAATCTTCTTCCCCCATTCATATCATACGCAAAGATTCACAGACATTCGCACTCAAACAATATGCAATCTCACCCACACACTTTCAGCTGTTCTACTTCTCATCTCACCAAACATTACCTCAACAATGGCGCTCCTCTCAAAACCCTAGTTTCTCTCAGGAAACCCCTTTCTGGTATGCTGCATAGTTATCAAAAAATTAATCGCATTCAAGCAAACCAGACACGCATTGTTCAAATTTTGTTAACTTTCAATTCATATCACAGGTACCGGAGCTATTATCCGACGGTTTCCTTCGGGTTTGAAGCAAATCAATCGACGAGGTGATTTTCTTCTATACTCTTAGAGTTTGTCTGTCAGACGAGTACTTTTTCGAATTCAAATTTCCCCATGATTCTGTTTTTTCTGTTTCTGAAGATTGTTCTTTTTTTGTTTTTGCTGTTTGTATAATTTAAAAAGACGCCATTGTCTTCCTTCGAACCAGTATACCCGTATCACATTCACATCGTTCAATCGATTTGTTTGATTCATGACTCAAAATGTATCTTCGGATAGAAGCAGTTGCGACATCATAGTGTGAAATGCTATTGAATATCAATATTTGTTCTCTGTTGAAAATCTAGGTGCCATAAACTCAGCTACCGAACCACAGAATTCAAGCAACAATGCAGAAAAAACAAGGTTTTTCATCAAACTTCTTGGTCACTCCCTCATTTCAGATATGAACTCAAGTTACAGCTGTGTATTGTGCTTCCTTTTGTTGCAGAAAAGTTGTAGAACACATATGTTTACTAAAAGCAAAGGTGGATTTATCTGATAAAGACGAAAAGGACATGCTTGATTTTCTCTATACTTGTCAATACCAAATGCGTGGCATTCTTGCAATTTCATTAGGTGAAATCTCTTGCATTTGATCTGCATATTTTCCATTGATTCATGTCATATCGATTATTGACATGTCCTTACTTTTTGTTTCCTCTAGGGCGTATCTCTAATCAAAATCTTGAAAATTATACACATGCTGTGTTCATGCGATTTCAAAAGAGGGAAGATCTTGTAAAGTTCTATGATAATCCATTCTACTTGGGAGTATTAAAGGATCATGTAACACCTTTCTGTCATGTATGCCCTAACATGTAAACACCAATACTCTTTTCTATCTTTGTTTGATTTTGTTCTTAATCATTCGATTCAAGAGTTTAATTTTGTAATATACTTTTACATTCACAGGAATTGACTTATGTTGATTATGAATCTCAAGTAGAAGATGATATTCTTCCCATCTTTCGAAAAGGAGAGGTAATAAAGTAATAAACTAATAATAAAAATTAAAAAACCAGTCCATGTATTTTTGTTCCAATTAGGGTTCATGTAGCAACTGAAATTGCAGGAATTTAACTTTGGTGTGGAGTTCATACTTCTTATTGGATTTAAAGATAGGTTATTAATGGAAGCTGCAAATGATGCATTAACATCTTTTGAAAAACTACTGATGGAATTTCCTTCATTGATTGTTCAAGCCACAAGAGGTATTGTTGATATTAACATATTCCATTTCATTTAAAGAAATTATTTCCACCTTAAAAATCAAATTTTGAGTTATTTTCATTTTTTAGGGTTGAATTTTAATCATGGAAGTAAAGACTACACTCATGCTGTAGTGATACGGTTTCGATCATGTAAGCCTCTTTGTTGACTGTTTTCACAACCGACTTTTATTTATTTATTTATTTATTTATTGTTTTTTTTACAGCTGATGCATTTGACATTTTCATGGGGAGTTCAGAATATAGAGATGTAAATACGAATTACTAATTTGCCACTAACATTGTATTCTTGCTAATTTTGATTATTTGTGTTATATAAACTTTTATGATAATATGAGCAGATTTGGAGTTCCAAATTTGAGGCTATAATTGAGAAGAAATTGTCCATCAGCTTTTCTGTAGATCCAGTTGGCAATGAGTTGATGTAGCAAGCTTCACTGATACTAGGCATGTTCCATTTTTTCCTTTTTTGGTTACATAAAGAATCTATTTATATACTTTAATATATTTTTCATTTTTTTTTCTATGATTGATTACAGAATTACTTAAGAAAGCATTCCTGTTCATGGGTGTTCTGCTTTTCAAGAAAAAAAAAAAAGTTATTTTCTGCAGATGTTATCTTTTGTGATAATACATATATTTATATTTGGAAAAATGTATTAATTTATTACTCTTTCCAAAAAGACAGTAATTTAGAAAACCTGTCTGACAGTTTGATATTTCTACCTGGTAACCCGTAAAGTTGTTCCATACATTTACATTTTTCATTTTGTGTTGACTTTAGTGTACATTTTTTCGATTTTTTTAATATATTTTGTATGTTATTACTTAAATGACATCAGTAAATGGCTTTCTTCTTTGTATTATTTATTTTTAATTGTTGTAACGATTTTTAGTTTGTTCAAAGTTATATTTTCAATAGTTTCTTGTAAGTGTAGTGATTATAGATGCCAAAATCGTTACAACACATCAAAATAAGCACCAAAATTTCGAGAAAAAACTAAAATGTTTGGACAAACTTAAAAATAGTATCATATTAAGTAATGTAATTAGACGTGATAAGGTTGCACATAGTCTAAAGTGTAAACTATGGTTAACTACTAGTCATTGGTTATTGGTGTGGCCTAATTTTGTTTGGTCAATTGACAAATAAAAATATCAACGATTTATATGCAAAAACAGATGTCGCAGTTTTTGCGGGATAACTGAGTAGATAAACTTGAGGATCTAAGGGTGCTTACGTTAATGGCGTGTTGTGCATAGATGTGTAGCCTCATGGTGCGCAAATACCCAACTTTTTGAAAAACAGAACATTATTATTTGAATCATTCTGTAGACGAATTTCTTGACCTACCAAAGTACCAATCTTTATCGTTTTTCAAAAAAAATAACTCAATAATTCATAATTTTTATTTTTTGAGATTGTATATTGGCATATTGATTAAACTAACTTTTATAAACAAGATGTTTAATAAAAATAACTACTTGTTGTTGTTGTTGTTTTGTGTGTTTTGCAAAAATAACCACTTTGTAATGTGTGAATTATTTTGGATTTGTTCTCGACATTCCCGACCAACCAAAAAGATATAATGTCTACTTTTTTCTCATTTACATTTTTTTTCTCAAAAATCTTAATCCACATATGTTTGAAATATCCATTTCGAAAGATTTATCATTGTATTTTTTTTTTCTTATATGCATATTTTTTTTCATCACCGCTTTCAATCAAATGATTGATTTTAAGCCTTTGTATTGTATATATTATTCTCATATGTTATTTTTCTTTAACCATTTGTTAGATATTAATAATAAACGAAGTACTTTTTTTTAAAAAAAAATTTTAAAAGTGTTCATGAGATTTCAAACTTGTTCTTGAAATTTCAGAGTTTTTTTTCCATGAAATATGAAAATTCAAACAAAAACATACTTTTTTGTTAGTAAAAGTTATTGATGGGTCCGGAATAACCCATTACGGAAATCTTGATAATATATATATATATATATATATATATATATATATATATATATATATATATATATATATATATATATATATATATATATATATATATATATATATATATGGTTAGTTTAGTTAATACCCCTTGTTTATTTGAGGTGTTTATTAACTTATTGCAGTTTAACACTCTCAATAAGCACTTTTAAGTGTTTTAATAACATATAATAAAATAGTTTATTGATTAAATAAAAAGTTGTTAAGTTAATCCAAATTTTTTTCTTAATTCCGATTTGGTCTTATACATATTAATAAGCTCATTTATGAATAAACGCTAATGTAGCAACCCAAACTAACTGTCAGATTTTTGAATCAATTCGTCCAAAATCCTATTTTTATATGTAGGCTAGTTCCTTCAATGTTCAAAAACCATGTCAACAGCATTATTATTAACAAAGTGAAGGGCTAAGCTGGTTGTATGAATGATGTAACAATTTGTAAGTACGACTGCTTTGGTGGAATAATAAGAGGAATGCCATTAATTTGATTAACGTGATTTGACGGTAATGTCAAATATCAAGTTTTTCGAAGCTTTGGCAAACCACCTCGTTTGTAAAGCGTGATTTAAGACAACAATTTTGTATATAAGTATTATTTTTATATGTATTTCAACTATTTTTCACTTTTATACATGACTTAAAATGATATTTTGGTAAACTACATGTATAAACCTTGAAGCCAGACAAACTTTTTAGAATCTTGGTTTAGGATTTGATGAAAATATGTTTTTTTTTTTTAGAATGGGGAGGCAAAACCCATGATAAAAATATGTTTTTTTTTTTTTTTTGAGAATGGGCAATACTTTGCCACGTAAGTCCCACCCAAACATACATGAGATATTGTGATTTTGTTTACCAGTAAAACTGGAACCAAAAAATAGGTTCTTACCTTTTTTAACATATGTAACTTACATGTTCAAAGGACCTATATTATGCAAAAAAGAGATTGGGGACCAATCGAGACAAAACAGGCAATTCGTTCGGTTCCTATGACACTAAAAATACGTCGAAATAAGCAATCCAAACACCCCTAAACCCAAACCATGATATTTGTTTTCCCAAACACCCCTAAACCTAAACCATGATATTTGTTTTTGTTAAGTTGCTTAAAAGCTAAGATGTCTTGTTCAATCTATGTGGCCATTTCATGTCACAAAACTTCCTTCTTGGAGTTTTGTATTGTATCATCGCACTATTTGAAAACAGAAAATATGTATAATTTGTTTATTAAATATCATTTCTTTATCATACTTGACGCTACCACTCTTCATCAAGTGTCTTGTTTTTTTGTATCTTGGATTCCTTTGTATAAAACTTTGTCCCCACTTAACATACAAATTAATAATGCACATATCAACTATAAGAATATATACATTAAGATCAAAGTCTTAACAGATTATATATTATATTAACCTCAATTACACAACAGGACTTTTGACTTTGACTTCTGATCATTGGTCGTGTTAGGCTATTTTTCTTTGCATCAAACACTTGTACGCCATGAGCGTGTAATGTACTTCATAGGAAATGCATTAAACACTTGTACTCATAAGTCATAAGGATTACTTTGGAATTTGTATTATATTCCGGCTAATATCCGGGTACTAGTAATTTACATCTCTGACTGAAAAGCAGGAGTTGAAAGAGTAGTAAGAACCCTAATATAGAATCTAAAGAACTGCAAAAATTCGTATAAAGTGTTTACAAAATCATCAATGATGAAACTATTAATCAATTGTGAAGAGGGTTTGGGCCACCGGGAGTTTCCCGTTTTGAAACACCGGTAATCGGGTCGGTGTTGTAATTCCTGGATTCTTTAGGAGCTGCTGCTGCTGTTGTATGCCATGGATGCTTGGAATAGGAATGATGTTTTGGTTGGAATCTTTGATTGAAACCTTCGATTGTAATCCTGTGGATGTTGCGGGAATTGGAAACAGGGGCAACTACGAGGATGAATACCGTGATCGCCAGAATTCGGATTCCGGCGTGTTGTATTCCCATGAAGACGGTAATGGAGTGATCAAGAAACAGAGCACGGAACGGGATTAGTTGTGTTTGTAGATACTAATGAGAAATGGAGTGGTGAGGTCTTTTAAGATGGATTGATAAGAGTGAGTTTCTTGGAAAAGACAAGAATGCCCTTTTGTCTTTCCTGTGTTATTATTCATTACCGAAAATACCCTTTCTCAAACATATGTTTCTACTCTCCGATTTTTGTTTTGGTTTTGGTGGATCTGAGATTTCAGATTCGGAAGATGATAAATGTGAAGTGTGAACAAGGGAGGTTATGGTGGTAGAATGAAGTGGGGGGTTGAAGGGTAAGATGGTAATTTCGTATTGTTATAGTTGACTTTGGTGATTGATTTAATAATTACTTTTGACTACTTGAGTTTGATTTTGATGGGTACTGTATTTGAAAAACTAGCACTGAAATGCACAACAGTAGGTTGGGAGCCCAATTTGTATTGGGTAATCCAATACTTCAGACTTAAGTATAGAGACATTTTTTTAATTTTAATAAAATATACATTTCTTTAAAAAATTATAGCACTGAATATTTTTTTTTTCAAAAAATAAATAAACCACTTTGTGTTTTCCTTGAAAATGATTTGCAAAAAGCGAAGGAAGATTTTTTTTGGTTGCAGTTGCTTTTATTAAAAAGAAATTCTAAACTATAACGATTAAATTAAAAAAAAAAAAAAAACCTTATTTGAAACTATAATGATTTTATAGAATCAAGGTTTTATGTAGTGATTTTTAATCTACCTATTCTAATAAATAAAACCTAAAAATAACACTTGTTAGTTTAATAGAATATCTCTTTGACACGTGATATTTTTCTATGATTTATATTATTTTTATTTTTTGGTAATAAATCAAATTCAATTCAAAATTTGAAATACAAAATATTATCTATGTTTATTTTTTCTTAACAAATTATAACCTAATAAAAAAATATATTAAAGTCGCAATGGTTAAGTAAATAAAAAATTAGTGGATGGTCGGAAAAAAAAAAGTGTAAACTACTATCTATAGTTCTTATAAAACTTGGCGTTTTACTTATATAAATTTACCCTAAAACGATTCGTGACACCAATAATATGGTTAAGCTAAAAACTTGCTTTCGTACAGAAATAAGTTATAAATGTTTTTTTTTATGTCATTTAACATTTGTTATCATTTAGTTTTTATCAAATATTAATATTGTATTAGCTATTTTATCACACAAAAACAAACTTTTCAACAAATCTTTTATAACTTAAAATAAATGAAATTTGATAATTGTAACAAAGTTCTTTCAAAAACTGAATAGTGTCACATTTTAACATAGAGAGATAAATCACAATCTCTCCAAATAAAAAAAAAAAAGTGATGCCAGAGTAAACCTGAGATCGATCTTATTACGAAGTCTTACATCCTTGCCTAAACAAATATATGTGCAATCTTGACGCTATTTAAGGTTCTAAAACTCGCATGAACACAAGAATCCTCCTATCCTAGACAACTCCTAAAATAACCATGTACATGACAAGTATTTACAATAATGCCATTGTCAGTCAAGGAGAAAGCATCAACTCCGCCCAAGCCAATGAACATGCCTTCATCTCTGAAGAAGATGACGTGTCAATTTTATCATCCAACATGGCGCACAAATCTTTCATTGATATATGATCTCGTGGCCTTAAATGAATACATAAAGAAACCACTTCACATATCACTTTCAAATCCTCATTTTTAAAATATTTCAATGAAGGATCCACAACCGAACCTATCTCCTCTTGCTTTTCAATATAATCTTTCGCCTGTTATTAAATACCTCAAAAGTTTAATCATTTCATTTCATAAATTCAAAAACTATAAACAAATTCTTACCCAATCTACTAAGCAACCTTTGTCCTTGCAAAACGAAGGGCGTCCACTGACAATTTCCAAAAGTAGAACCCCAAAAGCGTAAATATTCCCTTGAATATCCAAATGTCGATCTTCAAATGAACTCGGGAGAACACATATATCACCTTCATGGCTAATCGATCTAGAGTTGTTTTCAGATCTTGTTACAATTGTTTTCCAGCTTTCAAAATCAACAAGCTACAAAATGTATAAAAAATATCATTAATCATTGTATCCTTCTTAGAGTTTGTGATTAACTATGTCTTTTAAATACCTTTGGTGAAAAATCTTCTGTGAGATAAACTGCATTAGAGTTCAACTCAGATATAGTAAATGGTGGCTCGATTTCTGTATGAAGATATTTTAAACCTTTCGCGACGCCTATGATGATCTTCATTCTTCGCGACCAACTTAAATTGCACCCTTCTTCATCTGCCATTTTTCAAAACCACCATTAAAAAAACATGTATTATGTACTTATATATAATAAAAGACTTACAATGAAGATGCTCATATAATGTCCCATTTGATGCGTATTCAAACACCAACATTCTTGTAAACGGATTACTATCTATACAATACCCAAGCAATTTTCCAGTGTTTTCATGGTTTAATCTTGCCAAATCCGCAACCTAATGAACAAAAGAATTCAAGATTAAAAAGGGTTTGTTAGGGTTCAAAATGATAATAATGAAAGTTTTTTTTTTTTTTTTTTTTAATTTGTTAATTGGTATTGAGTATTGACCTCTTTTTGATAATAGAGCTCAATGTAGCCGGTCCAGTGTTCTTCTTTAATACAAAGAGATATAACAGCAATTTCTGGGCCCCCTTTTATAATTCCTTTGTAAACCAAACTATCAGATGATGACCCGATAATGTTGCTGAAATCTTCACATGCGATCTCGAGTTCTTGTCGATTATATCTTGTAACACCTTTTAACATATTGGAATCGATATGAATTGACATATCGTGTTTGTTGTTTGTGGATCTCTTTAATAGATTCAAAACTGAAGGTTTGCTTTTGCATCTTAAAATGAATGTGAGAAGAGCGATTAGAAAGAGAGAGGTGATTGAAACTCCGGTCATGACTTCCACCACTAAAAGCCAAACGGGTGGTTTTGAGTGACGAATCTTGTAGTTGTCTTGTTCGGTTGGATGTAATCTTGATTTTCCGGCGATCTGGGCTGTTTCCGGTTGAGTGCCGCCTGTATTTAGAAAACGGGACACCTGAATTTTACAAGAATCTTTTTGAGTTTGATTACAGAAAGGTGCGAACAATGAACATTACCACATTTTTTATGGGTGCGTTGTTTGGTGTTGTTGGAATTCATACAGTTTCCCCTAAAGTTATTCCTGGAAAAAATCATGTTCATGATAACGAGGTTTAACTTGAGTTTTTTTTTAGGAAAAGAAGAAGAAAATTTTACCTTGGAAGATGTTCTAAGCATTTGGGTATGGTTCCAATGAAGAAATTGTAGGAGAAATCTGCGACTTTTAATGAAGATGAATTACAAAAACCTGGAATTATCCCATGAAGTTTATTTCTATCCAATCGAAGCTCTTGAAGGTTTTGAAGATTTTGAAGCTCCAATGGCAATTTCCCAGTGAGTCCATTCGATTGTAGGTTTCTGAAATGAATTAGTTTCAAAAGTAAACACAACCTGTTTATTATTTGAAAACTGAAACAGCAAAACCCTAGAATTATGACTTACATTTGAACAATGCTGACTAAATTTCTAATTTCGGAAGGAATTGGACCAGAAAGCTGGTTTTTCCCCAAATCCAAGACTCTGAGGAACTTCAATGATCCAATTGACGTGGGTATCGGACCAATGAGTTTGTTTTCGTGCAAAATCCTACATGAATTACAACTTTTCGATGAGTCTTGGGTTATTTGAATGTGAAATAAGGTGTTGAGAGAAAGCATACAGTTCTTGTAAAGCGGAGAGCTGAAAGAGTTCTTCAGCGATGAATCCCTTTATCGAAGAACCAGAAATGTTACTGTAAATTGAAAATTTAGAACCCCAATTAGCTTCAATTACAAAAAGAAGTGTTCGAAAAAAATGTCTTACAGTTTTGTAATTTGATTTCCAGAACATGTAACACCGAACCAGTTACAAGGATCTGAATCAAGGCTATTCCAGCTTGATAAAGCCAAAAACGGGTCTTCAAAGATAGATTCTTTGAACGAATTTAAAGCACGAACTGCAAGAATCAAGAACTGGGTTAAACAAATTGAGTGTTTTTTTGTTAACGATAAAAATCAAAATTAACACTGCATACCTTCAATTGGTTGAACGGCGTCATAAGAGGGTAGAAAGAACCCTAAAGTAACACACAACAGTTGAAATTGAATCAATTGCTTCATGTTCGCTACTTTTTTTAGTCTCTTTCTCTGTAGAACATTAAGAACTCATCAAAGTAGGAGTCTAGATGAAATTACAGAAACACCCATGGAATAAAGAGAGAAGAATCTTTTTACAAAGCAAAATCAAGAACACTAGGACAAAGGCTAAAGGGTAAAGGGTTCAAACCAAAGAATCTTTTGACAACAACCCAAGAAACGAAATCAGTGAAAACATTAACTGAAAAGTTTAAAGCAGCGCCGCTTAGAAGAAAACTTGGATTCGAAGAGAAGCTTAGGTGGCAGAAATGCAGGAGACTTGAAGAATCTTTCTCCCTTTTCGGATAATGGTATTTGTGAAGACTGAAGAGGGAATGTTTTGTTACAGTTACTGATTGATGGAGAATTTATGATTTAAATTCGTTTTTTCTTTCTGGCGAATTTCCCCCAAAAGTGTGAAGAGAATCAAGTGGGGGTGTGGAGTGGAGTGAAGTGGCGTTGGGACTTGGGTTTTTGAGTTTGGCAGATCAATTGCTAATCATTGTAGAAGATGGATGAATGGTAAATTGATACTGAATCAGGAGTTCGCTCTGAAACTATGATATCAAATTTAAGAGGGCTTAGGTTGTTTGGCAGCATCTGAATTTTTAAGATCTGAATTTTTAAGAGATCTGAATGTTTAAGAGGGTCTGAATTTTTAAGATCTGAACTTCTGATATATTGTTTGGTTGAAACCTCTGAATTGTTATGTTGAATAACAAAATTGACCATTCTACCCTTCTGTGTTATTTTTTTGTTGAATTCAATGTTTCTATTTAGAAAACAATTTGACAAACTTACTGAATAATTGTGAAAAATAACTTGACGATTATGTACTTCAAAATAAAAACATGCTCAAGCTCTTACCTAGCTAATTAATGGTACAATGCTTTTGAAATAAATACATGTTCATACACCCCTAATTTGTGACGAAATGAACATTTCATTGCTAATACACATCCATATTACAAAGATTCACAAAAATTCAAAATTGATAACAAAGTCAAATTTAAGTATTTACATTTACATCTATGTAAATAGAATAGTGAAAAACACAAATTCATATCATCTTTTTTACTTTTGCTCCCTGGATCAAAAGATACCATTAAACATTGACACCCATCCAATATCCTTTTCACATTTTGTATTGGTATGGACGGTACCAAGCTGCAGTGCTGCACCAAAATAAGACTTTTAAGAAACTACTAATAAAAACATAACCATAACTATCTGAATTAACAATGAACTGTAAGCACATCTCCAGAATAGCAACAAAGTAGATAACTGATCAAATTGGTTCAAATCTTGATAAAACATCAGCAACCAAACTCAATAATGGGTAATAAACAACTCAATAATTGGTTCAGCTTTGCTAGAAAACACTTCTATCGGATGAAAACTATATTGATTCCGAGTACACACCTGCTATCATATTTCATAAACAATACATACCAATATGACTTGAAATATGCATATGAAAATGGTGGGGCTGGCCGATTAGGGCTGAGTCATGGAGTTGGCTAATAAACAATATTTCAAGCGGTGATCGATTGATAATTCCAAAAAAGCAAGATAAATTGAAAACCCTAAAATTCTACACACTACCTGGTGTGATATCCGAAAAATGGTGGGGCTGGCTGATCGTCCTATTAGGTGGAGGGACTGTGCTCCAACGATGGTCCGATTAGGGCTGTGAGTCGTTGGAAGAGACGGTGACAAGCAGGCGTTGGAGGGTAGCAATCGTCGGAGAGGGGTTGGAAGGAATAGGATTCGTGAGAAATAGAAAGAGACGAGGGGGCGCAGGGGTAAAAACGAAATACGCGTCGATGAGGGAGCCGGAGGGATTCGTTGTCGGCGACAATGTTAGAGACGGCAATGTCTAGATGGGATGACCGGAAAGGATGGTGAACTGTGGAGGGTTGTAATTGGAGTTTTCAGTGGGAAGCGTCGTTTGTGAAGAAGAAAGATCAAAGGGAGGAGATAAAGTATTTGGGCAAAAAGGTAATGCGCGTTGTTTTTATTTTTTCAGATATGTCTTTAGATCTGAAAGTTTAAGAGGCAACTTAAAAATTCAGAGGCATAAAATAATATGCAACCAAACAGTCTTTATCTGAAAAATTAAGAGCTTTCCTCTTAATTTTTCAATTAAGAGGCTACCAAACAGGGCTTTAATCCCAAAAATATCGAAAAAAAAAAAGGTCATACTATCATAAGATATTCACAATTTTTGGGTTTCTCATACCAGAGGAGTGGTGGCAGTTTGGACCGCACTTCCTTTGCCACATAAGCACAAACACCGCCTTTAAGGGAGCACTCATTCAAACAACATGATTGTAACATTCATAAAAATAATGTCAAATTTAAAATTTTTTCAAACATTTTAAACCAATAATTATTATAAAACTTGTTTTCAAAATAGTATAATGTCAGAGTATCCCAGAACCAAATCATAAATTCATGAAATATGAGGAGTTGTACGATCACGTCTTCGTCTTTTCGCGATCATCAGAAGTACTTGAAACAATAATTGATGAATGTAATCTCGAAGGCTTAATGAGTTACCCACAAAATACCAACACCATAAAACATATCAATAACAAATAAGCAACCAACATGCATAATGAGCCTTCAGCCCATCTGGACCGCTCTCCGAGCCTTCGATGCGTCTGGACCGCCTCGCAGTGCCTACAACCTATTGGATCGCTCGTCGGGCCTTCGACCTAACTGAACCCCTTTGTAGGGCCTTCAGTTTATCCGTACCGCCCTGTGTATGTTGGCCTTCAGCACAAAGCAGGACCGCCTCAACCCAACCCCAATCAAACAAACATGTGCACATAAATATCATACGCTAGCATATATAACAATCAAACCGATCTATAGACTTTTGAATATCTGATCCTACCCTAAGCACTTCATCAAACAAGAATAGGAAATAAGGTCAAACCAAACATTCTCAGGCTATAAGATCTTAATTATGTACGACCGTGATGCATACACTAAGTAACTACAGTAATGATGTCAATTTCATATAAGGAAAACCCTAGTCTACCAGGCATCATATAATCAGGCAATTCTATCATGCAATTCCTGAAGATCCCTAGCCTAGTACTAGCATGTTGTTCTAACATATCACATATGTCAAATAATCCGAAAGGTATTTTGGGGTCTATCCGCGAGCTCCGGCTGATCTTACACTTGCATCCTCCTTTATTATTTTGAAAACATTTTGAAGAAAATCGTTTTAAAATCTTGTCCTCAGTTTGAGACTGGAGACACGCGAGTGTTTCCTCCAATTCGTTCAAACCAACGCTCTGATACCAACTTGTAACATCCATAAAATTCATGTCAATCTAAAACTTTTTAAGTCATTCAAAAACTCCTAATTATTACAAATTTGTTTCAAAATGGTTTCATGTCAAAGTATCCCAGAATCAAATCATAAAATTATAAGGAGGTGCAAGATCACACATTCGTCTTCCCGCGATCATCCGATGTACCTAAAACAATAATCGATAAATGTAAGCTCGAAGGCTTAGTGAGTTATCCACAAAATACCAAATTCGTATAGATATAATCATATCATATAAACATATAGGCAAACAACATGCATAATGAGCCTTCAGCCAAACCGATCTAACAGATCACTAATCATAGCAACATCCTATTGCCAAGATACATACCTAACCGATCACTAACATAAAATCATCCTATATACCAGGATACCAACCTATCCAGGTCACTAAGCATACCACCATCCTAACTACCAGAATGTAAACCAATAAGCAAATCATGCAATAAACTCGGATACAAATCTGATAAGGGCCGACATTGGTGCGTTAGACCTAATAGATAAAATGAGGATAACTCACCTCACAATTTTCGCACTGAAGTGATAAGCCAAACTCTCAGATTACCTACACAAACTCCACCGCCTATATTCACCATAGAACCATATCCATAAATTTCCAGTTTCCCAAAATACCCCAGAAGTCAAACTGGTCAACCCTTGGTCAAAGTCAAAGTGAACAGTCAAAGTCAACAGTCCATGCTGACCTAACTCGCCGAGTGCAGCTAGCAACTCGTCGAGTTCCTTAAGGGTTTAGAAGGTCATAAAACCCTCACTGACTCGTCGGGTTTACCACCAATTCATCGAGTCTATGCGTAATTTGAAGTCGAGGAAACCCTAACTAGCTCGTCGAGTCACTTTATTGACTCGCCGAGTCCATGCAGAAACCTTCCAGGACAATCTCCATCAGACTCGCCGAGTTGGCCATGCAACTCATCGAGTCTCTTCAGTCCTTCTCATTTCAGATGCTTATAAGCCACCCCAAAGCTCCATTTCGCAGATCTGACTTCCTAGAGCATAATTCTTACGCAAAGTTGCAAGCTTTACGTACATGCAAGGTGTAAATGGCTAAAATAAAGATATAGAAGAGGTTCTAAGTAACAATAAGGCATTATCTTGCTCAAGGCTGGAGCTTTATGACCATAAGAACCAAGATGAGTCTAGATCTAAAGTTGCTACATCAGATCATGACCATTGCCTGAAATGAAACACCAAACAAGCTAAAATGGCCCTAATCTTTGTTGGGTTTTAGCCATAAGAACTTTCCTATGTGCGCATGCAAAACCCTATTGCTTGGATCTAGGATTTCTAATAAACATGCTTTTGAATCCAAGACTTCTAATGGCTAATTAGGTTAAACAACAATATTAAAACAGATCTAGAATCATACCTTTGAATCCCTTGTTGATCTTGTTTGTCTTGGAGCTTCTAGAGTCACAATTGTCACTCCTCTAATGGCTTACAAACACCAATAGCAAGCAAGATGATTTAGGAGAGAGGAGAGGGGAGGAATTCGACCAGAGGTTCCTTGCATAGGTTGTGTGTTAAATTCCCCCATCCATAGGGGGCTATTTATACTATTAGACTCATTAAGGGTTTCACCTTAAACCCTAATTGGATAATCTTCTCTTAAGGCTATCCAAATCCATTCCATAGATAACCCTATGGACGATTTTGAGCTATCCTAAAGCTCTTAGAATCCGTCCAAGGTGTATCCTAATGGATTTATAGTCTAAAGTCTAACTATCAAACAATTGACAGTTTATACCCTCTTATTTAATTAATCTCTTTAAGTCACCAAATTAATACCAATTAATTTATGACTTATATTAATCAAATAGCTAAATATTATTCCTTATAATATTTACTCTCTCTTAATAAATCATCCTTCAAGTTGCTATGGTGAAGGCAACCCAAAAGGACCATGCACCACCGAATATAGTTATAGCCTTAGACACTATTCCAACAGTCTCCCACTTGGATAAGTCTAGTAACTATACAAGTACAATACGGTTTGCAATCGTAGCTCTCAAAGACGCTGTCAACTCTGATCTAATCAATCTTGTCCTTTAGATAAGGGATCGTACAGTCCTCTGTTAGATATCATGCTGACAATCCTATGGAATGGTTAGTCTAGCATTTAGATTTCTCGATCTTGATTTATTTGACATAGAACTTAATCGAACACATCAATTCAGTTCTGACCGGGCCCGGCACATAAGTCAAATCAAATCATCGAGTGGCCAAGATATCTCTTCTACCCTCTTAGGATAAAATTTACAGATAAACTTCGACTTATATGCATTTACTTATTCATTAACCAACTATACACAACAATGCGTTTTATAACATCAAGTTACTGATGCGTTTTCGCATTATCAATGCACAATCAATTAACAAATAATAAACCATATATCTAGGTTTTAAGACCATATGATATTATCGTCTTGCGATCACCTTTTATATCGTATTCCATAAAGTGATTCCAGCAAGCGCGGTTTATTCCAATGCTCAAAACCAGTTCATAAGCACTCATGAACGTTGCAGCAACCCTTGCTATGTCTAACACCATTTAGACATTCTACACACCAATTCATGACAATCTTCATTCATATCTACTCCCAACATATGAACGATTGTGGACCATTTGAATAATTCGATTATTCCTAATAAACTCAATTATTCTGGAAGTCAAAACATGCAAAGTGAAACAATAGTTAAACAACTAACATGTGACAGTAACTTTACTCATAAATAAAACTCCTTTATTTAATCATCAAATGTTAATTACATTTATCTATTATACGTTTCTAATACTATCTAATCTATACTAATATCATCCTTCAGCCCAATACTCCTAGCATGCTGCAAGTGCTTAACCCTACTCAGTCCCTTCGTAAGCGGATCTGCTGGGTTATCTTCTGATGATATCCTCTTCACTACGAGTTGTCCTTCTTCTACACGATGTCTAATGAAGTGATATTTTCTGTCGATATGTCGAGATCTACCATGATCCCTCGGTTCCTTGGTCAAGGCAACCGCACCTTCGTTATCACAGAAAATCTCCATGGGCTCCTTTATGGCCGGCACAACTCCAAGATCACCGATGAAGTTCTTCAGCCATATTGCCTCCTTCGACGCTTCGCTCGCTGCGATGTACTCTGATTCGCACGTTGAATCAGCTACGGTTTCCTGCTTGGAACTTTTCCATGTCACTGCTCCTCCATTTAGGGTAAAACCCAGCCCGACTGCGAACGATAGTTGTCCCTGTCGGTCTGAAAGCTGGCGTCACTATACCCTCGCACCTTCAAGTCATCACTCCCTCCAAGGACTAAGAACCATTCTTTCGTCCTCCGAAGGTACTTAAGGATGTTCTTCACCGCAATCCAATGTGCTTTGCCAGGGTTCCCTTGATATCTGCTAACCATGCTCAAAGCGAAGGCTACATCAGGGCGAGTACAAGTCATAGCGTACATGATTGAGCCAACTGCGGAAGCGTATGGTACTCGGCTCATTTCTGCTATCTCAGCTTCGGTACTCGGACTTTGAGTCTTACTCAACTTGGCATTTCCTTGTATCGGTAGTTCTCCCTTCTTTGAGTTTTCCATACTAAAACGTTTTAGTACCTTCCAAGTAAGTATTCTGACTAAGTCCAATTAGTCTCTTACTTCTTTCTCTTACTATCCTTATTCCCAAAATGTAAGAAGCCTCTCCGAGGTCCTTCATAGCGAAGCACTTCCCGAGCCAGGACTTAACCTCCTGCAGAGTCGGGATGTCGTTTCCTATGAGTAATATGTCATCGACATATAGAACGAGGAAGCTTACTATACTCCCACTGGCTTTGACATATACACAAGATTCGTCTTCGCTTCGTACAAATCCAAACTCTTTGACTTTCTCATCGAAGCAAAGATTCCATCTGCGAGACGCTTGCTTAAGTCCATAAATGGACTTCTCAAGCTTACACACTCT